CTGCATTAATTACTCTAGCCATCAATTCTTCCACTTTTTTTTCAAGATTTTTAGTTTCTTTGCACTGGGTACGTAATTCCTCCTTTAGCTCTGAGAAGTTTGATGGACTGAAGCCTTCTTCTCTCATCTCGTCAAAGTCATTCTCCATCCAGCTTTGATCTGTTGCTGGCGATGAGCTGCGCTCCTTTGCCGGGGGAGATGCGCTCTTATTTTTTGAATTCCCAGCTTTTCTGCCCTGCTTTTTCCCCATCTTTGTGGTTTTATCTGCCTCTGGTCTTTGATGATGGTGATGTACTGATGGGGTTTTGGTGTAGGTGTCCTTCCTGTTTGATAGTTTTCCTTCTAACAGTCAGGACCCTCAGCTGTAGGTCTGTTGGAGATTGCTTGAGGTCCACTCCAGACCCTGTTTGCCTGGGTATCAGCAGCAGAGGCTGCAGAAGATAGAATATTGCTGAACAGCGAGTGTACCTGTCTGATTCTTGCTTTGGAACCTTCCTCTCAGGGGTGTACTCCACCCTGTGAGGTGTGGGGTGTCAGACTGGCCCTAGTGGGGGATGTCTCCCAGTGAGGCTACTCAGGGGTCAGGGACCCACTTGAGCAGGCAGTCTGTCCCTTCTCAGATCTCAACCTCCTTGTTGGGAGATCCACTGCTCTCTTCAAAGCTGTCAGACAGAGTCGTTTGCATCTGCAGAGGTTTCTGCTGCTTTTGTTTATCTGTGCCCTGTCCCCAGAGGTGGAGTCTACAGAGACAGGCAGGTTTCCTTGAGCTGCTGTGAGCTCCACCCAGTTCGAGCTTCCCAGGGGCTTTGTTTACCTACTTAAGCCTCAGCAATGGCAGGCGCCCCTCCCCCAGCCTGGCTGCTGCCTTGCGGTTAGATCGCAGACTGCTGTGCTAGCAATGAGGGAGGCTCAGTGGGCGTGGGACCCTCCCGGCCAGGTGTGGGATATAATCTCCTGGTGTGCCCACGTGTGCAGTATTCGGGTGGGAGTTACCCGATTTTCCAGGTGTTGTGTGTCTCAGTTCCCCTGGCTAGGAAAAGGGATTCCCTTCTCCCTTGCACTTCCCAGGTGAGGGGATGCCTGCCCCTGCTTCAGCTCTCGCTGGTTGGGCTGCAGCAGCTGACTAGCACCGATTGTCCGGCACTCCCTAGTGAGATGAACCCAGTACCTCAGTTGAAAATGCAGAAATCACCGGTCTTCTGTGTCGCTGGAGCTGGGAGTTGGGGACTGGAGCTGTTCCTATTCAGCCATCTTGCTCCGCCCCACCAAATTTAATTTTCACATCCACATGGAGTAGTGAACAAATCATGACACATTTCTTAGATGACAAAAATTTGAGGTTCAGCAAGATTAAATTACATGTTCAAGTAAGGATGAAACAAAATAATCGATGTGAAATATTTAGCATAATATTTGGCACAGTAACCAATCAGTAAGCTTTAGCTGTTATTATTATCATATACTATCATATTATAACTAGTGAGTAAATGGAAGACCCAGGAGCAGGCAGACATCCTGTTCCTAGGACCTCTTAGGAAACTTAAAGGGTGCTTTCTAGCAGCAATCATATAAAAAATTCCAACTACATAAAGCAATGGGTCAGCTAAGTCAAGTCTGAAGTATGAAGGGGGCTACTCATCATTTCTGCTTTTCAGGCAAGCTGATCTTGATCTGATATACACATCAGCAACTGTGAAAGAGGCTTTATCTTTTAATTTTCTCCAACATTTGTGCTCAAACGTATCTCTTACTCTTGATTGCCGCACCTCTCTGTATCACAATGTGAAAGAGCAAAGCAACCAAAAGTCTGTGGTTTATGTTCTGGGCTCTGATGATGAGTTCCTATCAAGAAATATGTCTCTAATTATAGAACCTGTAAAATACTAAAAAAAAAAAAAAAAAAGGGATTAAAACTCAATAAAGCTATTTCTAGAGAGAACAATCTGAAAGATGCAGTCCTGGAGCTGAACAAGCCCTGTGGGCAACATGCCCCCTCAGCAACCCACTGAGGTGGGAGAGCTTGCCTAGTGTTTACTCCATGCCGGGACTCTGAAATGCCCATAGGTACATTTCAAATCACGGAGTAGGGAGTGAAGGCCTATAACCCTAAATATATTTGCTTACACTGTCTTCACATGGATTCAACTTTAACAAACAGTGAACGTCCCCCCAAGGTAGTCTTTGCTCTCTAGAAATCAAGACAATTATTCAGTCAGCTGAAGGCAGAAATACCATGAAATCATTTCAGATACGGGAAAATGGAAAGGGGAAAAAAAAGGAAATTTATTTTTTTAATTTATAAAGACCAAGGTAGCACTTGTTCATCCTGTTGTTTAGGGAACCAGAATATAAATTTATGTCACCAATTCAACATTTTCTTTCAAAACTTTAGTCATTGTTGTCTCACATACATTTTTCTTTTTCTTTTCTTTTCTTTTCTTTTGAGATAGGGTCTTACTCTGCCGCTAAGACTGGAGTGCTGTGGCAGAAACATGGCTCACTGCTGCCTCAACCTACCGGGCTCAAGCAATCCTCCCACATCAGCCTCCTGAGTAGCTAGGACTACAGGTGCACACCACCATTCTTCACTAACTTTTTAATCTTTTTAGAGACAAGGGCTCACTATGTTGTCCAGGCTGGTCTTGAACTCCTGGGCTCGAGTGATCCTCGCACCCCTCAGCCTCCCAAAGTGCTGGGATTACAGGCATGCGCCATCACGCCCAGCCCTCATATACATTTCAAGTGAAGTTACCATAGCTCAGTTTGGGGCAAAAATAAGTTGTATTGTACTTGTCCAGTTTCCAGTCCAATAGCAGTCTCTTCACCTAATTCATGTTAATGATAAAAACACTGCATAGATTAAGTCTCCTGAGGATGCAATTTCTCTACTAATAGCATAAGAACATATAATTTTAATCAATTTTACATATTTTTCATATATAATAAAGCCTACGTTAGCCAAAATACTGAAAGAATTAGAGTTCTGATTAATTAAATTGTCTGACATAATTTAGGAGTCACACGAAAGTAAACACTTTTTTTTACTCACCTTCCTTATAATTAAAACTCTTCCTACATCTCCAAACCCATTGTCCTGCCTTATCCAACAGAGTTTAACCAACATAATCAAATACGGCTTTGTTACCCCAGGACACTAACTCTAAGCTGTCCTTTGTTCAATGGAAGTAACTAATTTCTGCACAATATTGTCACAATTTCTGTTTTTCTCAGTTACATATTATAATCCCATTAATGCTATTTGAGAAGACTTTTGAAAAATGGTCTAAAATCACTATATATATATAACAATATCTTCCTCCATGAAAAGTGGCAGTATTGTTTCAACAAAATTAGGCAAGTAATATAGTTACAAGATGTCTACGTCTAACAGAAAATAAGATGGATACCTGATTTTGAAATGTGCATAAATTTAACTTTGAAAACACTGAAGTCAAAGAGAGAATTTCCACATATAGTTCATTTAAAATATTTCTGGGACTGGTACAGGAGTGTCAAACTCAAATTCAGAATAGAACAGTAAACTTGGTTTACTTCCAAAGGAAGTCGAAATGAAGAAGTAGTTTAGAATGACTTATAGAGATCACAGGAAGACTGAACCACTGCACTGAAAAAAAAATATTCTCTGAAAAAAATATGCCAATTTCATAGGTAAGTATAACTTGTTCTAAAAATCATGCTCTAGAAAAATGAATTTTCAACAATTTGAATGACATAATTTTCTCTCAGGTATCCAAAAACCTTTTGGTAATGAGTTTGATTCATTTATATGTGAGGAATTTTCAGACAGTCCTTAAACTCGCCAATCTCATTCACATCTCTCCTCCTTGAATCATTCGTGTTTTGCCACAGACATCCTACCTTTTCTTACAAAGAAGGAAGTTCTCTATCAAATACAAAAGAGTAATCAATGGCAACAAGCAACTAAAACAGATGCTAAAATGCACTAGGCTTGTTTTTATGCTATTTAGTAAGCTCTGTTCTCCAGAATTTTAGTAAAGTGATTTATATTTTATTATTGCTTTAAGCATATTAAAATGCCTTTGTTCACTTTATAAAACATATACACAAAGAAACTGCTGCACGCAGATTTGTTGTACTCAGATTTGATGGTTAATATAATCAGGTTAATATGTTAAAAAGAACTTGACACAGAAATTATTAATGAGTAGAACAAGGTCACTACTTCTGAGCTGAGGTCACTTACAAAGAATGCACAAATGAAATTAAGGTTGACTTTTATTTACTTGACTATCTTCTTACATTGGATTCCTTTGGCAACATATCTTTAAACATTTAAAGCCCTGTTTACAAGGAGGTTCTGAAAGAAGCTTCAAACCATTATGAACCTAATTGAATTCCCCAGGAGTCCAGTAAACTCAGAGGAAAAAAGAAAAATCATAACATTTGCTAAATCATCTTAAAACATATTTCACTGCAAGGTTACATGACCTGTTTTTTGAGGTTTAAAAATGAATGAAAAAATACTGAATACTTCATTATTTAGATGAAAATCAAAAACAATTTTACCTATTAGTGGTAAGCTAATTAAATCAGTCTAGTTTTAATTATTTTTCTTAGAGAAGTCTGACAACAAACAATAACATTTTATACTGTATGTGATCACTTTCCCAGAGTATAACAGTTCTCACAAGGAGAAAAGGATCTTTAACCAAAAAACAATTATTCACAGCAAAAGTATGAGAGAGAGCTGACAAAAACATTGTAGTCCCCAGGGAAAGTAGTATCTTATCTGTGAATTCAAGACAAATTCAAGTGGAAGAAGAGAAAGTAAAAGTTTTTAGCAACCAATTAGTTTATTACAATGCCCGCTCTTCCCAATTCTAATTTTACTTTAAAATAAGCTTTTATGATATTTTTATTCATAGTTCCCTCACATGCTCCTGTGTTTGTTGGAGTACTGAGCAAAAACATGTAGATCTGAGCATTTCCAAAAGAATGTTAAATCCCTCTCTACTTACCTGGTTTGTATGTTATTCCAGGGGGGAAGAGGAATCCCTGTTGGGCAGCAGCAGCTGCTGCCAGGGTCCGCTGGTCATGTGGAAAAATTGGGATCATGAGCGGAGGCATGTGACCCTGAACCTGCTAAACAGAAGAGAGCCTATGATCAGACAGGGAGCAAATGTATGCCAAGAAGAATTTGTTTTTCACTTCTGGTGGTGTGCTGGTACCCACACAGCCACCCACCTCTAACCTCATTCCAAATCTGCAATCTGAGAAAATTCAGTAAAAATCCACCAAATCTCTTTTCTGAGATGCTAATAGCATACCGAAGACGTAACTTCGTTGTGAATTTGCCTCGTCGCTGCTTCCACCAAACTGTGGTTAATGGTTTTCCTTTCTCTTGACTTTTTTCCCTTTTATTTTTTCTTTTAAACAAAGAACTAGAAGAAATAAGTTTGCCTCTTTTCTAGTACTGTACAATGTTGAGAGGTTTTGCCCTTTCACCTGCTTTGCATTCTGTGCTTTCTTTCAAAAACAGTATTTAGTATCCATGGTCAGAAAATAATGTCTAATTGTTATATATTCTAAAAGCTGCATCTCCCCAGTTTAGGTATCTTATTTCAAAGCCTCACGGCATTATGTTAAACATGTAGCTCTTCAGATTTAAGGCTACTACATCTTGGCTCCCAATTAAAGTAATATTCTTTGCCATACACACCTTGATGTAACATATAAATTGCTTGTCTGGCTAAACAGTTTTACAGCTTTATGCACTACCATGTAGCTCAGTAATTATGGAGTTGTATTCAGAGAGCATTTCATAATAAATTCTACTATATCAAATTTCATTTGACCTCAATAAATGTATCAAAGAGCACAAAAATGTAAAATAGAAAAATCTTTACTCTATATCAGTATTTGTATTCCATATAAAGAAAATAAGAGCTATGACAGAATCACGCTTGTGAAAATTACATTTTAATTTCCTAGCTCCCTTCTTTACTCTACGTATGCTGCCCGAATTCCAGGACAGCATGACAGGAAGGTTTTGTCCTGGCTTTAGGGCACAGTTTTATAGGTTGAATACAGGACTTTTCTTATTTAAAGACCAAAACTAAGATATGCCCAAAAAATTATCTTTAAGTTCAAACAGGGTATTTAGCCTTTTCACTGGTATAAAAAGGCTACATTATATCTTATTTAAGATACAAACCTTTACCAGTAATTCTTCTAACCCCAAACCCTTCCCTGTCTAAATTCCTAAATCTTCTCTTTAGGCAAAATTCCACACACTGGCTAATGACCCTGTTTAATTAGCACTGACTTGCCTTGTCCTGTCCCTATTCCCTTCATAGCCAGGGACACAGTGCAAAAAATGCTTCTGTGTGGGTCTAAGAGGTTTCATTTTCCAACAGTTTTTCTCTAGGGAAAGCCCTAAGATGTGGGTTAATAAAGGGCAAGCAAAAAATAAACACTTTACAGGATTTTTCTGAATTCATTTCTCAAGAAAATCAACTTATAATAAAAAGGTCTTTGTGCAATTACTACCTTGCCAGTGGGGCGTGAAAGAAACTAGCTTTGAGCAGCTATTTCTTCCATTTTAGCTGAGGTAAGCCCAAGTTTCGTACATTAGAGTACAAACTAAGCCTGCTTAAATTGGAGCTGATCCCCTAGTGCCCAGGTCTTGCCTTTAACCCTGAAGAAAAGCACCGGGCTTGCTGTTGAACTCCAGCTTGTTGGACCCTAATGCAAACCTGAGATGTCAGAAACGAGGGCACTATTCTATGCCAGAAAATAAGACACAGTATTTTTGTATATGGGTTACAATTGTTTGGTACAAGAGTACATCAAAGGAAATAATTTCATTTTCCTCCAGAAATATGGCCCTAATATGTACCTAAAATACAGCACGGATGGCTTCTACTCTAAAAAGGGAGAATAAGAAAGTGAGGAGTCTGGATATTATATTTATTTATTGTTTCTTTCATTTCAAAAACATTTATTATGTTATTATTGAGAAGTAGCTGAAGATGTTTCAACATTTAGCTTGAGAGATAAAAGAGGTAAGGTTATCTTCAAATACTAGAAAGAATAATGTATGGAAGAAGGATTGGATTAAGACTGAATGGTTAACAGAGGGCAGAACTAGGCTCAAAAGAAGAAATTTCATGGAAATGAAATTCTAAGAACTTTCTAGTAATAAACTATTCTATAGTCACTCTGAGTAAAAAGATGGTATGTATCTTTTCCCTAGAGATGGTCAAGTAAAGAAAGGCTGTATAACCCCATATGTTAGAGATATGTAAAGCAAACACACAACGAAAAACCTGATTATATAATAACCTTATGGCCTTCCCAACTTTATAATTCTATGATTGTTTAAAAATCAACATTAAGATGATAGTGTGATTACAACAATTCCTTCATTCGTTTATTATGCATTTATTCATTGAGGATTTACTAGGTGCCTTTAAAGGCCTTGTTGGCAAAAAAGTCTGAACTTAAATCTATATGCTGTTATTTTCTTGACTGTGTAATCTTGAACAGTTACTTAATTGTTCTGAGTCTATTTCTCATGTAAAAACTGAAGCTAATTATACTACCTTACATGATTATTGTGAGGACTAAACAGACAATAAAAGTAACTCTTGTGTCACAGTACCTGACATAATAGTAATGCAGTATCACAGTAAATCCTTGTTAGATCCTTGTTCTTTTCTTATATGGTTTGCATATTCAGCGCTAGAAATTATCAAATTACTGATAAAACAAACAATAAAACAAGCAATAGTTGATCTTACTTATAACTCTACTTTAAGAAAGAAAACACGAGCCAACTAAATAATTCAGTTTGGCAGGCAGAGGCTTGTCATGCTTAGCAGACAACATGCCTCACAGAGCATTATCCCATCCCAAGTATCTAGAAAACCATGAGAAAGAAGAGGCGGGAATACATGTTCATTTGAACATGTATTTGGGGCTCTTTGGTGTTATTTATTTAACAGCATCTTAGAATGAAAACATTATTTTATATTGGTCACCCAAGCTCTTCAGATCATGAGACAACAGAAAAAGGTCAATAGCAATTAGAAACCAGACCTTAATTCTTGAATCTTAGTGTCTTAACTTACTCCTTTTGTAACTTTCCATCTTCATGATATAACTAACCAAACTCTCGGGTTCATTTTTAATGCCAAAGAGCTGTAGGTGTTTCATATTAACATAAGCTGTAAGAATTTAGGTAAATTCATTTCTGTTCATCATACTCTGCAAAGAAAGCTATGTTAGAAACTTCAAATACTAAATATTAGCCCAGAGGCTATTCGATAACTTGAGAGACAAAGTAAATAAGCAGGAGGTCAGAGGACATTGTGAAAGCAAGAGTAATGATAGAAACATAGAGTTGGAATAGAACTTGGAGATGACCTAACCTAGCAGTTCTCAAAGTGTGGTACCTGACCAGCAGCATCAGCAATATCTAGAAAGTTTTTTAAAATGCTAATTCTTAAACTCTACCCCATACCTACTGAATCAGAAAACTCTGGAATTCAGTCCAACTAATTAAATTTTAGGCTAAAATTTAATTTAGGACAGTGATTCTCAAACTTTAATGTGGATCACAATCATCCACAGGGTTTGTTAGAACACAGATTGCTTCCTTCTCTCCCCGTGCTCTGTCAAGAGTCTTTGAATCAGTAGATCTGAGGTAGGGGTCTGAGACTGTACATTTCTAAAAAGTTACCAGGTATAGCTGGGGCTGCTGGTCCAGGAGTCATTCTTTGAGAATCACTAATCTAATCCAAAGCTCACAATTTACACATAGGAAAACAGGGGGCTAGAGAAGGTAAAAGATATAAGCCTACGGTTACAGTGTCATGACACAGCTGGATTCAGAGTCCAGAAAGGCTAATCACCCTGTCCAGGGTTTTTTCCATTACATCAGATGGACTTCAGTGATAGAAAAGGGAGAAATCACTGGCTGCACTGTTTTGGCAAAGAAACCCTGGAAGTCTCCAGCTGAAAATAATTTTGTGTTTCAGCAGCATATTGCTGGAGTTTGGATACTATGAATGTTGTTCAATTTCCAATAAATTCCTTCCTATTTTTTATTTTATTTTAATATTTTTATTTTATTTTACACAGAACACACTGATCTCAGTATTTACCATCATTAATTCCAGTAGTTTGTTACCATACATTGATTAGCAATGATCATTTTGTTCCAAGGAATAAAATTGACTTTAACTTATTTTAAGTAAAACAATAAACTTATTTTAAGTAAAACGATGTAAAAATGTCAAGTACTCTTTATTAAAGAGAAGCCAGAATATTCAGTAGCTAGTTAGACTCTAGCCTGAGAAAAGGTGATTAAAAGTTCTTCTTATGTCTAATTACATAAGTAATAATTAATAGTAATGATGATGATAATGATGATGATGATGACCACAGCAGCTAATAGTTTTCCATGTTTTCTATATGTCAAGCACTGGAAAAGTGATTTACATACTCTATCTCATTTAATCCTCAAAACCCTGTAAAGTACTTACTATTATTATACTTATTCATTTAATGAGAAAAACAAAGCCATGTGAGGTTAAGTAACATAACCAATTAAAAAGCAACAGAGTCAGGACTCAAGTCCAGATATGTCAGGGTCAAAGTTTGTACTTTTAATAACATATTATATTAAGCATGAAGTCATCTTTCGAAAAACAGATCGAAGATAAGGAATATGATTATTGGTGATAGTAATATAATTGTAGGTTTGCATGTTGTTGTAATAAAGAATACAGAGAGATCACATGGATCCTTAATCCAGTTTCCCCAAATGATAACATCTTGCAAAACTATAGTATGATAACACAACCAGAGTACTGATATTGATACAATCCAACAATCTTATTCATAGTTACCTAGTACAAGGGTCTCCAACCTCTGGGCCATGGACCAGTATCAGGTCTTGGCCTGTTAGGAACTGGACCACATAGCAGGAGGTGAGCAGTGGGCAAGCGAGCATTACCGCCTGAGCTCTGCCTCCTGTCAGATCAGCTGTGGCATTGGATTCTCATAGGAGCACCAACCCTACTGTGAACTGCGCATGTGAGGTACCTAGGCATGCTCCTTATGAGAATCTAATGCTT